CAAAAAGAGAACTTATTGGGAGGCCACGACGGAGGGATCGCTCAAGGTCAGGAGTTCAAAACCAGCCTGAGCAAGAGTGAGACACCGTCTCTACTAAAAATAGAAAGAAATTAATCGGACAACTAAACATATATAGAAAAAATTAGCCGGGCATGGTGGTGCATCCCTATAGTCCCAGCTACTCAGGAGGCTGAGGCAGAAGGATTTTTGGAGCCCAGGAGTTTGAGGTTGTTGTGAGCTAGGCTGGCACCACGGCACTCTTAGCCTGGGCCAACAGAGTGAGACTCTGTCTCAAAAAAAAGAAAAAAAAAAACTTAGTAGCAAAGAAAAGAGTATATATGAACAAAAAACCTAATAGCAAAATTTAGTCGTTTTTATAACTACTTTTATAAACCACATTGGCTTATTAAAACACTTTGAGGCCGGGCGCTGGTGGCTCATGCCTGTATCCTAGCTCTTGGGAGGCCGAGGCGGGCGGATTGCTCAAGGTCAGGAGTTCAAAACCAGCTGAGCAAAGCGAGACCCCGTCTACTATAGACAGAAGAAATTAATTGGCCAACTGATATATATATATATATAAAAAATTAGCCGGGCATATGGCACATGCCTGTAGTCCCAGCTACTCGGGAGGCTGAGGCAGAAGGATCACTCGAGCCCAGGAGTTTGAGGTTGCTGTGAGCTAGGCTGACGCCACGGCACTCACTCTAGCCTGACAACAAAGTGAGACTCTGTCTCAAAAAAAAAAAAAAAAAAAAAAAAAACACTTTGAGTGAAAAATCCTATCTTGGAAGCTCAGGGTGAATCTTGATAAAAAAAAAAATATATATATATATATATTTTTTTTAAGAAGGATAAGGGCTCTTCCTGTCTTCATAAGACTGCCTTCACAGTCTGATTTTCTGCTTTGAGATTCAGAAAATATTGTTACCCTCTGTAAGACTGCTATTGTAAAGAGTAGGGAGGATTATGCACAAAAGTATTAACATAGCGGGTGAGCTGCTGTCTTTACAAGGGTCTGTTTACATGGTTGCCCTTGGCTGTTAGGAACTTGGCTTGCAGGAAGTTCTTGCAGGAAGTTCTCTACACTAATATGAAAAGTTTCGCCTAACTGATAAAGGTGTTCACTGTGCCTAGACTGTACAAATATGGGCCTATGATAAATACCTGCCAGGAGTCTGGAATTCGGTAGTTGCTAGGCAGAGAATACCAACATGACCACCCTCAGAAAATCCCTAAACTCTGAGCATCAGACAGGCTTCCCCACCAGAAACAGCACATTTTGGCTACATTTTGCTGCTAGAGAAAGGACGTAAGCTGGTGTATCTCCTTCTGTCAGGAAGGGAAAGCATATAAAGTCTGTGCATGGATTTTTCCAGACTCTGTCTTTTCCCCTTAGTGGTCTGGCTGTGACACTATGATATAATCATAGCTGTGTTTACACTGAATCTTGTGATCCTTCTAGTGAATTACCAAACGTGAATTATCTGGAGAACCTTCAAACCAAAGAACTAACTTTCTGTTTGAATGAAAGTAATTATGAAATATTTATATTGAGGTGGCTTTTAAAATCCTCATGTAAGATTAGAAACAAATTTAAATGTTTATCAGGGAATGGATATATAAATTACACATTGACACAATGGAAACTATTACTATACACTATATACTGCAATTACTATACGCTCTAAAATATGTCCATGGTTACTAAGGTTTTGGATTTTTAAAAAAGAATTGATAAGACAGTATATGTGGCATAATCCCATTTTGTAAAAACAAACTGAATAACAGAAAAACTCATTGTGTGTATATTAGTGTCTGAGACCATACACATCAAACTATTAGTAACTGACCTCTAGGAGCTGGGATTAAAGTGTGGAAAATTACTGGTCTACTTTTCAAAATTTTTAAAGATTTAAAAATTCGAGTTGAAAGAAAATATAGTAATCAAACCATAAATGTATGCCAAGTGTGAAGCCCACTAAAATGGATGGATTTTGGATTGCTGAATATTTATAAAACATAATAATAGTTTCCAAATTCTCTAATTTTTCATGGATTTAAATTCTGTTTGTGAGATCTGATTATCATTGCATTCAAGTCATTTGCAAATACTGCTCTGCCAGCGTTTTTTTTGCCTCATACGATCTTCGGGAACCACTCTGCCAATTTTAAAAGTAGTAAATGTAAATGCAAAAGCTGTTCCTAATTTGAGATTATATAGCATTATGAGATAGAACAGGGTTGGCATACCATGGGCAAATCTAGCTTGCCACCTGTTTTTATAAATAAAATTTTATTGGGGCACAGACACACTGTGGCTGCTTTTGTGCAATAATAGCTGCGTTGAATAGATTATGACAGAGATCCTATGGCCCACAAAGCCTAAATCATTTATTATCTGGCATTTTATGAAAAAGTTTGTTGGGCGGACACGGTGGCTCACACCTGTAATCCTAGCACTCCGGGAGCCCAGGCGGGAGGTTGCTCGAGGTCAGGAGTTCGAAACCAGCCTGAGCAAGAGGAGACCCCGTCTACTATAAATAGAAAGAAATTAATTGGACAACTAACATATATATAGAAAAAAATTAGCCGGACATAGTGGCACATGCCTGTAGTCCCAGCTACTTGGGAGGCTGGCAGGATGCTTGAGCCCAGGAGTTTGAGGTTGCTGTGAGCTAGGCTGACGCACAGAGCCCACTCTAGCCTGGGCAACAAAGTGAGACTCTATCTCAAAAAAAAAGGAAAAGGTTTGTTGACTCCTGAGATGGCAGTTAGGCTTAGGAGAAAGTTAGACCTGGGACATTATCAGATCTGAACTTTGCTACTTACTAGCCCCTTTTGGGGGGCGGTGGTGGGAAACAAGGTATTGCTCTGTTGCCCAAGCTGCTAGAGTGCAGTGGCACAATCATAGTTCCCTGCAGCCTTGATCTCCCAGGTTCAAGCAGTCCTCCTACCCCACCCTCCTGAGTAGCTGGGACTATAGGAACACAACACCACACCTGGCTAATTTTTTTTTTTTTTTGATACAATCTCACTCTATTGCCTGGGCTAGGGTGCTGTGGCACCAGCCTAGCTCACAGCAACCTCAAACTCCTGGGCTCAAGCGATCCTTCTGCCTCAGCCTCCCGAGTAGCTGGGACTACAGGCATGCACCACCATGCCCGGCCAATTGTTTCTATATATTTTTTAGTTGTCCAATTAATTTCTTTCTATTTTTAGTAGAGATGTGGGGGAGGGCGATCTCTCTCTTGCTCCGGCTGGTTTCCAAATCCTGACCTTGAGCGATCCTCCCGCCTCAGCCTCCCAGAGTGCTAGGATTACAGGCGTGAGCCACCGCTCCCACACCCGGCCAATTTTTGAAATTTTTTATAGAGACAGGGTCTCACTATGTTGCCTAGGCTGGTCTGGAATTTCCTGGCCTCAAACGATCCTTCCTCACCTTGGCCTCCCAAATTCCTGAGTTTACAGGCATGAGCTACCATGCCCAGCCAAAGAATTTAGTAAGGTTTAATGTCTACCTCTCACTATTCCTATCTTAAAATGGAAATTGTAGTACCTAGCTCATAGGAATGTGAGGATTAGATAATACATGTTGAATACATATATAATGTACGTAGTGGCCACTCAGTTAATTGTAACAGCTTTTACTGTTCTTTCTCAACTATGCTGAAGGTTTTATGGAGGTATATGTGTTGAAAGTGCATAGGATTTACTAGAATAAACAGAATTTGAAGATAGGAAGTCTGGCTAGGAAGTGGTTTTAATGGTTTAAGCTTAGGGGCACCAGTTGGAAGGTATGATATGAACTCAGAGGTATGAAGAAGCAATAGGACTTTGTAATTGATTGCATGTGAGAAAAAAGGAAAAGGGGAAAGATGAGTCAGGTGATATCATACCGTAATCCAAATAAATAGGTTAAGAGATGGAACCAATTAAGTGATTTAAAGATTTTGAGGATCTAACCCTGTTTCAAGGCAATGGGAAGGAAGTAGTACTCAGTAAATTTTATAAAGAGATTAAAGATTTGTGTTTCTGACTCAGCAAGTAAGTATAATGGACTCTTTATTAAAATATAGTATTAGGCCAGGCTCGGTGGCTCACGCCTGTAATCCTAACACTCTGGGAGGCCGAGGTGGGAGGATCCCTCAAGGTCAGGAGTTCGAAACCAGCCTGAGCAAGATTGAGACCCTGTCTCTACTAAAAATAGAAAGAAATTAATTGGCCAACTAAAAATATATATAGAAAAAATTAGCTAGGCATGGTAGCGCATGCCGGTATTCCCAGCTACTTGGGAGGCTGAGGCAGGAGGATCGCCTAAGCCCAGGAGTTTGAGGTTGCTGTGAGCTAGCCTGATGCCACGACACTCTGGCCTGGGCAACAGAGTGAGACTCTGTCTGAAAAAAAAATAATAATAACATATTTATAATATTAATATATACCCAACAGTATTCTCTCTAGAGAATTCTATATAAAAGTAGATATATCTTAAAGCTTCGACATTACTAAAGGACTAGAAAGACTTTAAGATTGTTCCATCCACAAAACAATTTCTTTAGTGTATACTTTAAGACAGTGTTATACTTTGACTTATAGGGCATTGTTGGAAAAATCTCTATAAGAGAATTGAACTAACAGTTGCCTTTTTATGCATTAATACCTTTTAATGATTTTATTACAGAACTTATATATACATATATATACATACATACTTACTTTTGTGTGCTGTCTCATGCTGAATACATTCAACATGATTTAATTTCTTCTCAGAGATTCAAGGAAATCATTTTAGTATCAGTTATATACTGTGATCTTGTCTGGCTGTGTCCTTCAGTGTTCTTCCCATGTTGCCTTAAAAAGTTTCTGAAGCCTTCTTGAGAGTGTTTAATCAGTTTAAAATAGCAAAGTCTAGTCTGGAAATAATTATGTTGTTTTCCCCTTCATTTCTTCAGATGATATTTTGAAGTAGGAAAGCAATCTGTTGCTCTCTTATTTGTCCATAGGTAGATATCATCTGTGGTGATCACTTGTTGGAACGGTATCAAACTCTAAGGGATATCCGACGTGCAATAGGTGATGCAGCAATGCAGGTAGGTCTCAGATTTTATCATGCCTATGCCTAACAGGTAAATTATTTAATGAAAGAAAGAAGTTCCATGTTAGCAATAAGGTTTTCATAAATATTCTATGAATTTCTTAAAATTACCCAGACTATAAATAAATAATTATAGCTAATATTTATTGAATGCTTACTGTGTGTCAGGTACTATTCTAAATGGCTTATGTAGATTAGCTTACTTATTACTCATAGTTATTCTACGAGGGTAGGCAGTCTTTTATCTCTTATTTTAAAGATAAGGAAACTGAACACAGAAAGCACATGTAACTTCCCACCGTGAGTTAGTGGGTGAGCCAGAGTGCAAACCCTAGGCCAGGCATCCTCAAACTACGACCCATGGGCCACATGCAGCCCACTGAGGACATTTATCCGGCCCTCCCGGTGTTTTTGCCACCACTGCCTGTCCTACTTAGCAGCCGGCTCGTTCCAGGCCCACAGTGCGCATGTGTGGAATGTGCGCCAACAGCCCTCCAACGGTCTGAGGGACAGTGAACTGGCCCCGTGTTTAAAAAGTTTGAGGACCCCTGCAGGCAGTTCAATTCTAGGAGCCTTGCTATATTTCCCTGTCTAGTACCGCAATAGAATTCTTAAGGCTTCTAGACAGATATATCCAGAAGGACACTTCTTCAAGAAAAATTTGCAGATATTTATGAGGCCTTAGAGATTCACATTCTCTTTTTTGCTCACTAGGTAAAAAGTCGAGGTAACTATTTTTATATTTTAGTTAACCTATAATGTGAGTGGGAATATAATTTGAAGACTCCTAGTTGGGATAATAGAAAGCAACGTAGGATCTACAATAGTAATGAAGAGAAAAGCAAGATAGGACCACATATTCTAATGTATTCCTGAACCTACAGTGGTAAATTATTTTAAGAGCTATATGCCTCTGAGAAGTTTATGAAGTACTAATGATTTGATGAGCCTTCAACTTAAACAAATTTTGTTTAATTTGTTAGAAATACAATTCTTTGTTTTGGTATGATTATCTGTGATCATTTGACTCAATTGAACAATACTTAAAGGAAGGTGTTGAATATTTTAAGATTTATGTTCTTAGTGTAGATTATGTTGTAATTCCTTGGAAGAAGCAGGGAATATACACATACACATATATGTACATGCATATGTTATGTTTTAATTGACATATAATGAAATACATGGGTTTTGACAAATACATATACCTGTTTAATTTAAACCCCTTCTTGAGATAATACGATCATTCCCAGAGAGTTCTCTCATGCCCCTTTCCAGTCAGTCCCTCGCCCTAGCACTGAGACAAAACCACTGTTCTGATATTTTCTCACTGTATATTACTATTTAGTACATTTACAGAGCTGTGCAACTATCACCACAACCAATTTTAGAATATTTTTATCACCCCAAAAGAAACTCCATATTCATTAGCAGTCACTCCCCATTTATCCCCAACTCCCCAGCCTTTGACAACTACTACTCTCTACTTTTTATCTCTGTGGATTTATATATTCAGGAGATTTTATATAAACAGAATCATATAACATATAGTCTTTTGTGACTAGTGCCAGACGGCTGTGATGTGCCTTACAAAGAAAGTATGTGTTAGATCAGCTTCCTTCAGGCATGAGGTATAGTCTGTTGGCTGTGAGTTCAGTGTAATGAATGAACAATATATATTAAAGTGGTTTAAAACAAACACACATAAAACAAGGTTATGTATTGATCAGCTAACGAAAATGACCAGAGGCTTGCAGGAACCTTACCCTGTTTTTCCCCAGGAGCAGTGGTTCAATATTCACTAATTCAGTGTTCCCAATGATTTTATAGAACATAACTACCTTGAATATCAAGAATCTGTGTACTAGGCCGGGCGCTGTGGCTCACGCCTGTAATCCTAGCTCTTGGGAGGCCGAGGCGGGCGGATTGCTCAAGGTCAGGAGTTCAAAACCAGCCTGAGCAAGAGCGAGACCCCGTCTCTACTATAAATAGAAAGAAATTAATTGGCCAACTGATATATATAAAAAATT